CTATGAACAGGTCGACCAGTGATGCTATGAACAGGTCGACCAGTGATGCTATGAACAGGTCGACCAGTGATGCCAACTAGTGGTCTGGGACAGCATTGATCAGATGATTAAGCCTGGTGTAATCATGCCATGGGGTCACTGTGACATTGATTGAGGGCTCAAGACATTTTTACGACGGGCGGTGCCAGGCCGGTGACGTCACAGCAACCCATAAACTCACCCTACAGCACGCCCAGGACCGACGGGGAGGTGGGAAAGCAGGAGGGTCATTGTTGGGGGAGGGGAGGGGCGCAGAATCAGTTGAGATGGAGAGGGACATGGTAAGCTGGTAGAAATGACCTGTAACGTATATGTATAAAGATCCTGATGATACAGCCTGTGTTCATACCAGAGGCCTGTTAGAAATTAATTGTTTTAAAATGGGGGAAAAAAAAATCAAGCCACACAAACTATTCTATTAGGTGAAGGTGTTGAAGTTGAACACTGAAGTAAACACACCTATTTTAATTAGCTCTAACATATGTCGGTAATCTACTGGACGCATAAAAAAAAAAAAAAAACAAAAAAAAAATAAATAATAAAATAAATAAAAAAATAAAGCTGCGGGACCCGGGTCCGAGAAGTGAGAGTTTGGGTTTATTTTTTAAAAAAAAATCATTGTAGGGTTTGTAAGAGAAAATTTGGTCTCAAATGAAAGAGAATTGAATGGACTATGTGTTTGTAAACTGATTTCTTCGGTGTAACTAAAATAAACTACCACACATGACATCTGAATAGCATTGAGTCAAAGTGGAACCGGAAACGCATCGCCGCTATTGGCACTATACCGAACATCACAACCTTCAAAACTGCACTCAAAACACATCTCTTTGATCCCGACTATCCTGACTGATTCCCACCTCAGACCGAAAAACGATGGTACTGAGTGTCATCCATAGCTTGAGATGTAACTAGTTTTAAATTTACATTTTTTTTAAAAATTTAATTAATGTATGTTAATTAATTTCTTTAAAAGTTTTGTTTCTTAAATTAGGTACAGCGTGGTGAGCCCAGCCCTAGGCTTGGATACAACGCAATATATAACCACTTATAATAATAATAATACCAAATTTTGTCTTAGAAACCATACAATAATTTTTTTTTTAAATTTTTAATCCCAACCTCTCATTTCTCGGACCCGGGTCCGAATAGCCACTTCGAAAAATTTAACAAATAAATAATACTATAATAATTAAATTGTCAAAATGCGTCTTGTAAGGAAGACTTATAGATCGACGACACCCTGATGAAATGATGGAGTCGTATGTGGACACAGTAGTGGCCAAAAGTCGGACGACCCTCTGAGCCATAATGATGACATGATACCAATTACGAACACCAAGATGAAGCAGAAGTCGAATTTCTTTCGTATCTATTCCGATTCCGTCTAAAGCTATACCCACCCCCCCCCAATCCACCTTCCCATCCCCATTATTTCTGGAAATCTCCCTAGTAGCAGGATATACTGTTTCAAAATGTCCCAGGTGTGTGAGTCAGGTTTAAACGTAATACCATCAGTAAAATTCCCCCAGAAACATCCAAAAGTTATAAATATCACGCGTCATAAAGACCCAAACAGCCAACGGCACAGGATCTGAAGGCCAGATGACGTCACAGGCCCGTGCACAGATCAGGAACGACGCCCAGTCGCAAGTGTGCACAGTAACATCTGATGGCGTTCATCAGTTTCATTGGTAACTAATAACAGAATGGTGCTTGTTTCAATTGTGGTGTGTCATCTGATAGTCATTGGTGATGCCTATGCTAAGGGTTAATTAATAGTTTAAGGGGTTCCAATCTGGGAGTCAGTCGTTGGTTGGGTGAGGTCCAAGCTAAGGGTCAGTTGTTGGTTGGGTGAGGTCCAAGCTACGGGTCAGTTGTTGGTTGGGTGAGGTCCAAGCTACGGGTCAGTTGTTGGTTGGGTGAGGTCCAAGCTAAGGGTCAGTTGTCGGTCGGGTGAGGTCCAAGCTAAGGGTCAGTTGTTGTTAGTAAAGTGAGGTCCAAGAGAGGGGTCAATTGTTAGTTAGGTAAGGTCCAAGATAGGGGTCATTTGTTAGTTAGGTGAGGTCAAAGATAGGGGTCAGTTGTTAGTTAGGCGAGGTCCAAGATAGGGGTCAGTTGTTAGTTAGGTGAGGTCAAAGATAGGGTTCAGTTGTTAGTTAGGTGAGGTCCAAGATAGAGGTCAGTTGTTAGTTAGGTGGGGTCCAAGATAGGGGTCAGTTGTTAGTTAGGTGGGGTCCAAGATAGGGGTCAGTTGTTAGTTAGGTGAGGTCCAAGATAGGGGTCAGTTGTTAGTTAGTTGAGGTCCAAGATAGGGGTTAGTTGTTAGTTAGGTGAGCTCCAAGATAGGGTTCAGTTGTTAGTTAGAAGGGGTTCAAGATAGGGGTCAGTTGTTAGTTAGGTGGGGTCCAAGCTAAGGGTCAATTGTTAGTTTGGCGAGGTCCAAGATAGGCTTCAGTTGTTACTTAAGTGGGGTCCAAGATAGGGGTCAGTTGTTAGTTAGGTGAGCTCCAAGATAGGGGTCAGTTGTTAGTTAGGTTGGGTCCAAGATAGGGGTCAATTGTTAGTTAGGTGGGGTCCAAGATAGGGGTCAGTTGTTAGTTAGGTGGGGTCCAAGATATGGGTCAGTTGTTAGTTAGGTGGGGTCCAAGATAGGGGTCAGTTGTAAGTTAGGTGAGGGCCAAGCTAAGGGATCAATTGTTAGTTTGGCGAGGTCCAAGATAGGTGTCAGCTGTTAGTTTGGTGATGTCCAAGATAGAGGTCAGTTTATAGTTTGGAGATGTCCAAGATAGGGGTCAGTTGATAGCTTGGTAAGGTCCAAGATAGGGGTCAGTTGTTAGTTTGGTGATGTCCAAGATAGGGATTAGTTGTTAGTTTGGTGATGTCCAAGATAGGGGTCAGTCTATAGTTTGGAGATGTCCAAGATAGGGGTCAGTTGATAGTTTGGTAAGGTCCAAGAGAGGGGTCAGCTGTGAGTTTGGTGAGGTCCAAGCTAAGGGTCAATTGTTAGTTTGATTATATCCAAGATAGGGGTCAGTTGTTTGGTTGATATCCAAGATAGGGGTCAGTTGCTTGTTTGGTAAAGTCCAAGATAAGGGTCAGTTGTGAGTTTGGCGAAGTCCAAGATAGGGGTCAGTTGTTAGTTTGATGATTTCCAAGATTGGGGTCAGTTGTTAGTTGAGTGTTGTTCAAGATAGGGGTCAGTTGATATGTTTGTAAGGTCCTAGATATGGGTCAGTTTTTAGTTTGGTAAGGACCAAGAAAGGGTCAGTTGATAGTTTGGCGAGATGCAAGATAGGGGTCAGTTGTTAGTTTGGCGAGGTCCAAGATAAGGGTCAGTAGTAAGTCTGGTGCGTTCCAAACTGGGGGTCAGCTGCTTGTTTTCGTGAGGTCGGGCTCATTATCTTTCCGATGAATCGGGCCCTTTTCGGTCTGATGCCATATGTCGTACTTCTGAACTTGTATAAAGAGTTGGAATCTGACTCACCATCTGTACTGTTTGTTGTAGCTGTTATTTCACCAAAAGTCAGACAAGTAGTTGTACCCACATTAGTCAGTAGCTTGACGGGAATGAACTTTGACAACAGGATCCTCGCGTTTCGCTAGAGTTGACTTAAACCATCACAGGCTGGGGGTGACGGGAGGATGGTGGTTGCGTTCTTAGGACCTGTACAGCGAGATAACCAACACTGTGTTACGTAAGTGGAAGTGGCGGGGTCGGGGTATAATTTATACAGGGGGGTGTGTGTGGGGTGGGGGGAGCCATTATCACCACAGGATTATAAATGTTCACGTCATAGAAGAAACTTATCTAACAAAGAGTTAAATGACAACAGAGATAAGAGGAGATGATGAATGAAAGACGGAAGGGGGAGAGTGGAGAGGGAGACAGAAATGAGAGAGAGGTGGGGGGCAGAGAGAGAGAGAGATGGGACAGAGAGAGAGAGAGAACGGGCAGAGAGAGAAGGGGCAGACAGAGAGAGAGAGAGAGAGAGAGAGAAGGGGCAGAGAGAAGGGGCAGAGAGAGAGAGAGAGAGAAGGGGCAGAGTGAGAGAGTGAAAGAGAGGGAGAGAAGGAGGTCACCGCGTTACACGAGCAGCATGTGTGATGCAATCTTCAAGGAATAAATAAAATTTAAAAAATCCACTGGGCCAACTGTCAAGAGAATAGCACGCCCCTTAATTAACGTGTGGCTGTCTCGGGCTAAGACATTAGTTCTGGTGGCGGGCCCTCGTTTGTCAGTCGGGACCCGGGACACACATCAGTCAAACCTTCCTCTCACTGCCCACTTCGATACGGCCGTCTACTTCAAAGAACCCGAGGGGGTTATCTTGCCTCCCGGAGACCCACACCCAGTGTGACCGGAGTCGATCGTGGGCCGAAGAGGGGGGAAAAAAAACACCCCACATCAGAATCGATCGATCCAGGGTTTGATTGGCGTCGACAAAGCCCGCCCCGCAGCAGATCACCTTACAGCCGAGATGACAAAGAAGGCGGGGCCTGCCCGGCTAGTGTCCCCTGTCGCCATTGGACGTGCCGTTGTCACCAAACCCCTCCCCACTCTTGCCCTCAAGTAGCTCGTAGAATATATTGACGGGGTCATCACACCATACCGGGGTATATTTTCCCAACGCCTCTAAAGGACTTGCTTTACGAGTTTGTGCGTGGCCCAGTACAACAAGACCTAGTGTTTGCAGAAGTTGTGAAGTTTAGAACTCTCTCAAACATTCGCTATTTTGCCCTCTGGCACTGAGGGGGGCTACTGCAAGCAAAAGATTAATAATATTAATAATTGCATATGTCGAGAGAGAGCGTGTGTGTGCGGCCTTGTGTTCCTCCACCAAACACCGACGACTGAAAATCACCAAGACAAGTTTGGTTTAGTCAAACCGTTTACTCCAAGCCTCAGATTATTTACCGGAAAACATCGACCATAAATTTTTTTTTTTTTTTTTTTTTTTTTTCTTTTTTAGTGTTGCATCATCTCGGTAAAACTTCGGGCTACGGCGGTAATTAAATTTACCTCCAACAAGGCGACAGAGGGAGTACCGTGGAGGCTTTTCCCCACCGGATAGTTTGTACATTTGTGGTGAATTTCTAAATAAAACCCAAAAAAAAGCCCAGGTCAGTGATCAAATCGTGTGTAGGCAGATAAGTCTGATAAGTCAGATAAGTTTTCGAATTTGTCATTTTACATACAGAAATTTCTAAGTGTCTGGTGTGAGCTGGCTCTGAGAGTGATCCACTCATGGATTAAATTCGACGATTCCGGCTCGGGTCGATCTCACCAGGTGCATTGGCGTTCACAATTCTTGGAAATTTTCCGTTGCGCCAAACCCCTCGAGATGGCACTAGTGTTAACGTGAAATTCACACTTTTGTATTAATTCAAACACAATAGATCACTTGGAAGGCCTATTCTAACCGGTTTTGGGCCTAAATTTTTAACACTCAAGGTAAGTCTATCTATTTCACTTCAGTTTTGTTATTGTTTTTACGTGGAGTTATCGTTATTATTTCCATATGACTCCCATACGCCGCCATTGTGTTAACGCTATGACTATGTAGGAGATCGTTAGGTGACAAAAAATTATCAATATGACATACAACGCTCAATATGAAGGGTTTTATTTCCCGTTATTGGAACTGTCCAAACTGCAAGTCATGTGACTCAAGTTAAAATACAATTTAGCCACGGACAAAATATGTCGCAGTAAAAAATTATAGTTCCGTTTTCAAACCATAGTTTAACATTCTGACTGTCAAACTGTAGTTAAACATTCTACCTTTCCGTGTAGTTATCAGTCGACCTTTAAAGAAAAATAGTAAACTATAAAAATCATGCTTTGGTGATTGGTTTAGTTTAGATCAACGTCTCATATATATAAAAATACCTGCTGGTTTTCATGAAATGGCTTTCAATTATCTAGAAAAAGACAAATTATGGGTTTCAATACTGGAAACACATTCTTTACAGCAGTACAAGTCAATATTTACATTAAGTTATGTTCAATCACGTCATCTAGACCCTACTACCCTCTCCTCCCCCCAACTCTATCTCTGCGGCCTGGCATCATCATTTCACGATGCCATGTATCTAGCGACATTGAGACTAGTCCGTGATAAGGTCAATACGCTACACCATTGACAGCTCGCTCCCGTTGATGTAATTGAACGTGTGCACCCAAGCGACCCGGTGCGGTGTGAAATGTGTAGCGTTTCTTGTCACGACATCATGGTTTAGTTAAAGGTTAAAACAATCAAAGCGCTCCGGCTTACCTGCCTGCACAATGGGCTGGTTTGTGGTGTTGTTGTTGGTGTTGGTGTTGTTGGGTGGGGGTGGGGTGGGATGCAGTTGCTTTCGTTTTATACTGAGTTACCCATTAACTGTCAAGCTGAAACTATATGCCCCCCCGGGGTGGAGGAACATATGCGTAAGTGACTCTACGGCGCGTAGACTGCAAATAAATTCTTGCGGGAATCAATTACAAAAAACAAAACAACAGCATGACAAAACAAAAGAAAGGAGCCGTTGAATAGAAGCATCATCCTGCAGCAGTCTGTCATTGCATCCAACGTATGCTCAGTGTTGGAGGATAACTTAATGATGTGTCATTTATGTCCCGAAGTGAACCGGTGTCCGGGCAATAGTAAAAAAATTCATGCTGATTGATTCTTTTTGTTTCAAAAGAAAGATTTAAATGATTGATTCTTTTTGTTTCAAAAGAAAGATTTAAATGATTGATTCTTTTTGTTTCAAAAGAAAGATTTAAATGATTGATTCTTTTTGTTTCAAAAGAAAGATATAATGATTGATTCTTTTTGTTTCAAAAGAAAGATTTAAATGATTGATCATTTTTGTTTCAAAAGAAAGATTTAAATGATTGATCATTTTTGTTTCAAAAGAAAGATTTAAATGATTGATCATTTTTGTTTCAAAAGAAAGATTTAAATGACCACAACATAGGCCCATAAGAGAACTGCATTATCAGACTCAAATTTCTTACCATAAGTCTTATTAGAAGATTGGAAGGGGTTTTTAGATGGAAAAATATTGGAACTTTTGAAAGATTACCTTTGAAGGATAGTGTGTATAGACAAACACAATGATACACATTTCCGCTCGACTACACACCAGTGAGTTATTTCCCAGAACATATTAAAATAAGATCAAGTGGTGGAAATACTACAATATGTTTTACGAGTTCAGACCACGACCTTATTGAAAATATGACAACAAAACCCGACCTGTGTGCTGATGCCGGTGGTAGGAGGATAAGTATTAGATCTATTTTTTATTATTTATTATTTTTATTTCATTTTATTTTTTTGGTGGGAGGGTCTAAATAAATAGCAGCCGATCAATCGTGTGGCGTGATCGAGTGAGAGTCGAACTTATTTGATTCTTTCCTTGCTGAGTACATTTACGGGAAATCCCAAATCATCTTGACAGGGAGTCAGTGAGTTTTTAGTGGACATATTTTCAATCAATCATTTCAAACATTCAATGACAACAACAACAACAACAAAAGAAGAAGAAAAAAAGAAAGAAAAAATGGTCACACTTATATTGTGTTGTCAGGAATAATAATTTTCTTTTTTTAACCGAAAACTGCCTAAGGTTACACAATGTCCAAATTCTATAATTTGTGATCAACTGGTCAGTGGCCCCACGGCCGTTCCAAGACACACTATGACTGAGGACCTTTGTATTGCAAACAATCTTGTTACTGACCCCCGTACAGAAACACTTCAATAAATCTACTGTCGACAAGATAGCAATGTTCAAATTATTATTCTTCGGAAACCGATAATAGACACACATACACACACACACACACACATATCAAAATAAAACTATTGCTTGAATAGGACTTTGTTGATGTATTCATTCCATTAGTTGAGATGTTTATGGGAACTTATTTTTAACAAATGCGAAATAAACAATTAGCTTTCTTTAAAACAACATATACAAACATATATATAAAATAATAAAATAAAATCTAAAGTTCATAAATAGCTATTGAAAAATTACAAACATATATTGTTGAAAATTCGCAATGAAAAGGGGCACTTGTTTGCTTAAAAAAATTAAATATTTCTCTTAAAACTGTAATGAAAAACCAGCTAAACAACAAAGAGCCGCTTTAAAACTCTCGTTTTTTTGTGTGTTCCGGGTTTGCCATAAGAATTTACTACTGAGTATTGAATTTCCACATAAACACATTTAGTGTCAACTTACACACACATCCGACATACACATAGGAAACTTATTTAACTCACACATCCAACATCCAACAACCAACATATACTACGCATTCAAACTATGCACCCGAAACACACACAGTGAGTTGACACAGGACACACACATACAGCACAGACATCAAAACACATGGACCCGTCGAACACCCAAACCCGACACACGCCGAACACCCAAACCCGACACACGTCGAACACCCAAACCCGACACACGCCGAACACCCAAACCCGACACACACCGAACATCGCCAACAGTGAATTCCGTACCTGATTTGTCATGTTGAATTTACTCTCAACTGCCCTTGTGTTTAGAATGAATGTTTTAGCCCGATTCACCCGACATGAGACAATGACGAATCGGATATTTAGACATTTTAAACGCGCCCCCATTCGCTATCAGATGGGGCATCAGTCCCAACATCCCACAACCATTGATCCCAACATCCCACAACCATTGATCCCAACATCCCACAACCATTGATACCAAACATCGCTGATAATTGCCTGTTTCCTCATTACCATTCTCATCCCGTCAATCGTGGTGACTGTCGGGTCGGGTTAAGATGGTGTTAGGTTGACACCTCACACCACACAAATCTGTCATGGTCCCCCTCACACCACACAAATCTGTCATGGCCTCCCTGTAAGTTCGTTCAGTTTGGCCATAACGATTTCCTTACACACAAGTCCCTAGTCTTAAGAATTGCATTTTTTTCCTGATTGGGAAACGGTCGTGTTGATCCGGCTTGTAAGTACATTGAGATTTCTGGAGTGGATGGAATAGTTTAGAAATAGAGAGAGAAGATTTTAGAGTTGTGTAGTAGTGTGGGGGGAGATTATCCGGCGATTAACATGGCGCAGCAGATGCTGAAAGTTACGCGCGAGTTTAAAGAGTTGAGCAAAGAGTGAGCACAACAAATGACGGAATTTGACACAAAGATGTCGGTCAGTAGACTCGGGGCATTGGAGACGACGACCAGTGAAGCTCATAGTTTGAAATGAAAAGCCTCTGCCAGAGAGTGAATAGTTGAAGGACAAGAGGTTAGACGTTACGTTACATGCATACTTTGATTACAGCTTATATAGCGGCGACAACGTGTTATATTTATTTATTTATTTGGTGTGTGTGTGTGGGGGGAGGGGGACTGGAGAGAGACATTCGGATATAAATAAATGAGAGAGAGAGAGAGGGGGGTGGGGATAGAAAGAGTAACTATTGAAACGTAAATAATCTTTTCAGTGTTTGGGAGAGTTAGACTGATATAAAGAGATAAAGACACAAAACTGTCAGTGGAGATATAAATATGGTTTATTTATGTCAAAATAAAATCAATTATTGTGTGTGTGTGTGATAGCCTTCTGCCTACTTTGTTCTCTTAGATGTAATATTACATTTGCAAAGCTTATTTATAATTAAATGTTGATCTGCTAGAGAGAAGGCTTTAAGCCGACACGTTGCTTAACTTCATTTCGTCGTAAACAAATACTGTCGCTACCTGTTGACACATTTAGATGATAACTGCATCTAGATTATAGATTGAATTAAAATATTTCGCCCCGTCCATTGATATGATCAGGGCCACGACTCGATGAGACTCTGAGCTTTAGAAAGCTTGCTGGTCACTTCTTTAGAATAGTGGGCAGAGGTTATCCTAAAACTTTGACATACTTAAAAAGCCAATAGTGTAATGGGAAAATAACCATTTTAAACCAAAATTCGATATCTAATATTTTATCATTCAGTTGTTCGCGGACACTGGTTTAGCTTAGAACTGAATCCAGGACTGGATATAGGGTGCACACTATTTCATGGGATTTATGAACTATTAAAAAAATAATAATAATAAAAAATAACACCAGTTTAAAATCCATATCTATGTGTTTGTTTGATATTTTCATCAAGTTTTCTTTGATTAGAAGAAGATAGCATTGGTGATCTGATCGAATGCCATTGTCAGACGACTATTAATTCAAAAGATGTGCTACAGTACACAGGAAATGAAAACTAATTTCAATGACTATATTAACATTTAATAGAACTGAAATTATTGCACATTTATTTTCTAAAAAAAAAAAAAAGAGAACAAAAAGAAAGGCTACCACTTTGGATATTAGAAGAACAACAGTTGTGTGACTAGCCAGGGGTATAGCGTCATTAGAACTATATTAACAATTAATAGAAATGAAATTATTGCACATTTATTTTCTAAAAAAAAAAAAGAGAGAACAAAAAGAAAGGCTACCACTTTGGATATTAGAAGAACAACAGTTGTGTGACTAGCCAGGGGTATAGCGTCATTAGAAGAACAACAGTTGTGTGACTAGCCAGGGGTATAGTGTCATTAGAAGAACAACAGTTGTGTGACTAGCCAGGGGTATAGTATCATTAGATGAACTATAGTTGTGTGACTAGCCAGGGGTAAGGTGTCATTAGAAGAACTATAGTTGTGTGAATAACCAGGGGTTTATTGTCATTGTCATTAGAACTATAGATGTGTGACTAGCCAGGGGTATAGTGTCATTAGAAGAACTATAGTTGTGTTACTAGCCAGGGGTATGGTGTCATTAGAAGAACTATAGATGTATTACTAGCCAGGGGTATGGTGTCATTAGAAGAACAACAGTTGTATTACTAGCCAGGGGTGTGGTGTCATTAGAAGAACTATATATGTGTGCCTAGCCAGGAGTATAGTGTCATTAGAAGAACTATAGTTGTATGACTATACAGGGGTATGGTGTCATTAGAAGAACTAAAGTTGTGTGACTAGCCAGGGGTATAGTGTCATTAGAAGAACTATAGTTGTGTGACTAGCCAGAGGTATGGTGTCATTAGAAAAACAGTTGTGTGACTAGCCAGGGGTATAGTGTCATTAGAAGAACTATAGATGTGTGACTAGCTAGGGGTATAGTGTCATTAGAAGAACTATAGATGTGTGACTAGCCAGAGGTATGGTGTCATTAGAAAAACAGTTGTGTGACTAGCCAGGGGTGTGGTGTCATTAGAAGAACTATATATGTGTGCCTAGTCAGGAGTATAGTGTCATTAGAAGAACTATAGTTGTATGACTATACAGGGGTATGGTGTCATTAGAAGAACTATAGATGTGTGACTAGCTAGGGGTATAGTGTCAGAAGAATTACAGATGTGTGACTAGCCAGGAGTATAGTGTTTTGTCGGCGTCCAAGTGTCTACTTCATATCAATATAATGGACTGTAGTGAGATACTAGCAGACCCGAGTGCCAAGTTATATATACCACAGGTTCCAAACGTCTTTGGAGTCTTGACCCGATTCTGTTGAAGCACAGTGACCCGTAGCATCAATACAAGGTGGGTGGGGGGGGGGATAAGATATGATAAGGACAAAAAAATCAACGAAATCAGATGCAGTGTGAAATTCTTGAACCCTTATATTAAGACACCGACTTAACTTACAGAATGACATTACAATCATTATTATTTAGTTTAAATGATTTAGACGGCGACCCCAGACCAATTGGTATTTGATTCCATCGTGTTTGTATTACAACGCATTTGCCCTTTATGAAAACTGTGCGTTATTAAATGTGTGGGGGACAAGTGTGTGCATGAGCTGACACAAATAGACAACTCGAAATGACACGGTGCTAACAAAAAAAAGTGTGACTTAATTGTGGTCGTGGCGATGGACCAAGAATTCGGCCAATGTTCGGCATGATGACGTTGTCCTACAAAAGTCATGTGGTGACGTAACGCACCTATGGTCAGTCTAACGTCGGGTCACGATCCCTGAACATCTCGTTTGAAGTCAAGTTGAACATTGTCTAGTTCTCTTTAACGCCGTCAGCTCTAGGGTGAAGGGCACTCGGATGGCTCAAGAACCCCATTGTTGATAAGACAAATACCGGTACGACATGGTCTGGTTTGATATCAAGACATTCGTCGCATCAAACTACCGCGGCCTTGTGGAGAGAGCCACTGACACATATGGAGAGAGCCACTGGCACTTATGGAGAGAGCCACTGACACATATGGAGAGAGCCACTGACACATACGGAGAGAGCCACTGACACACATGGAGAGAACCACTGATACATGCCTTCCGTGGCCAATATAAAAATAGCTACAATATAACAATAGCTATAAGTCAAAACTTTATACTTGATTATACTTGATTACTCAACAGTTTAATCATAATAAATATCTTTATATAGAAACAATAATGGTTATATTTACATGAGTTAGATTTACCGAAACTCTTTTACAAAGGGATTTTCTTGAATTCAACTTTTTATTTATTATTTATTTTTTTGTTTACAAATAATATTTGTGTATTCTAATGTAGTTTAAAAACAAAAAACAACATATTACACCAATTATCACTATCAAAGTACCGGTTTACTTCACCGACACTCCGGGAAAGTTCAATTGTAGGCATACATTTAGTAACTACAATTCCGAAAACCCGACTGCTTGAAGTTGAAACCAATATTCTTTCTTTGATCATTTTATTTTTTTTTTCAATGTGATGCCAAGCTTCAATTGTTTACTTTTTAAAAATATCCATTCAATCACAATTTCCACCTGATTTCTCTCACCGCTGCTAAAAAATAAAAAAAAATATATATTAAAAAAAATAAACATATATGATGACTACTTGTCAACGAGAATTACAATACGGCAGCTCAGGGCAACTCAAATTACTGACATGGCCATGTTATGGTTTTCATGATATCAAATCTTGTAAAAAAAACAACAAAAAAAACCGAAAGTTATTATATTTTGTTATTCCGATAATCTTCTGTGTCTCCTGCACACTCTTTGTCATTCTTAATATGAGTCAATTCTTAAACAGTTCAACGAAATCTGCACCCTTGCCACCTTTGACACGCCTTAAACAAAATGACGCTAATTACCGCAAAGTGCCGTAAATCGCCGTGTGTGGCCGAGAGTTAGAAACCCATTTGAGAGTGTTGAATAACGGAGAGAAGGGAGACATAATAAATTATTCTAAATCGCTGGATTTCCTTTGACTATTATCTCACCGTTTCTTGAATTCAACCCCTTGTCATAAACGTTCTCGGAATTGACTTTTCAGACACTTCCGGTTCAAGGGTTATTTAAAAAGTAGGACGTGTTTGCACGAACCAGAGAGGGGACAACTCCCCTTTTTAATGTTAACATGTAGTTTTGTGTGATTTAAAAAACAAAAAACCAAAACCAAATAGGAAGAGAATAATTGCAGCAACTGAGTGATTGTGCATTTTGTGCGGGGTGGATATTAAATGGGATTGCCGAATAAAACCAACGAAGGCGAGCCACCTAGCCCTTCACATTTACTAGGGGTGATCAATCGGGAACGTTCCATGTGCCAGGAAGTGTGGGGCGTTAAGTATCGACATGGGATCATTTTATTGACTGTACATTTTAACGCCCCTCCCCAACCCCCCAACCCCACCCCTGCACACCCTTTCAGATCCCCGAAAATTATAAAAAAATGCCTGGGAGTACTCTAAATGTCTTCAGAGAATGGATGCAAGGGATTTTTTTTAGGGATGTGGAAACATACATGACCCTAGAAGATGGCTGTTGATGTGGGGATCATTATTTGGCGATCGTGTGACTTCATTTTAAATTTTTAAACAAGAGGCCCGTCGGTACAATTATTTATAATTGCATTGAACGGTCAGTCGGTACAACTATTTATCTTTGCATTGAACGGTCAGTCGGTCCAAGTATTGATCATTAAATTGTACGTCCAATCAGTAAAAAGTATTTATCATTGTATTGTATGGCCAGTCGGTACAAGTGTCGGTACACGTATTTATCATTGCATTGTACGGCCATTTGGTACAAGTATTTATCATTATATTGTACGGCCAGTCGGTACAAGTATTTATCATTACATTATACGACCAGTCGGTACATGTATTTATCATTATATTATACGGCCATTTGGTACAAGTATGTATCATTATATTATACGGCCATTTGGTACAAGTATGTATCATTATATTATACGGCCAGTCGGTACAAGTATTTATCATTACATTATACGGCCAGTCGATACATGTATTTATCATTATGTTATACGGCCAGTCGGTACATGTATTTATCATTATATTATACGGCCAGTCGGTTCATGTCTTTATGATTGTATTGTACGGCCGTGATGAGTGGTGTGTATTGTGTTAACATGTGAATGCTAATTGAATGCTATCCCCATAAGATGTTTACTGAGGCTGGACGCAAACGCTTCATGAAAGCTCCGACAGACACAAGACAAATCATTATAAACTTTAGACTTCCGGGGATTTTGGTTGGTTTGTCATTTTAAAAGGTCCAAATGTTCTAGCTTGAGGTTTCTTCCGGTGTCCTTGACCTTTGATGGGTTGACCCGTGCTATCTACATCTCAAACATAACCCCCGAGAGTCGGTTAGAGTGGGCCCCCAAGACGTTATAAAAACTTACATCCAGTGCCTGCCAAATGTAATACACGTTATTTATGACGAAGTACTACACACTTAACTCGTAGGTGCGCACTAGCCTCTAGGCACGGCCCATCCTTTGTGTAGAATGTGTGCTCAAGCCTATTTGTGTAAGGCGAGTGTCCCGTCCAATGTGTAGTAGGTGTGCTTTAGCCTCTCTGTGTATGGCGTGTGGTACATCCTCTGTGTAGTAGGTGTGCTCTAGCCTCTGTGTGTATGGCGTGTGGTACATCCTCTGTGTAGTAGGTGTGCTCTAGCCTCTGTGTGTAGGGCGTGTGGTACATCCTCTGTGTAGTAGGTGTGCTCTACCCTCTGTGTGTAGGGCGTGTGGTACATCCTCTGTGTAGTAGGTGTGCTCTAGCCTCTGTGTGTAGGGCGTGTGGTACATCCTCTGTGTAGTAGGTGTGCTCTAGCCTCTCTGTGTGTAGGGCGTGTACCTTTGCGTAGGTTTGACGTCACATCGGTAGTTCTTTTGTGAGGATTGTATTGACATAGTAAATAAAATAACACACACTTAACACACAGTATCTAATTTTTACAATATCATAAAAGTATTTCTGAGGGAAAAACAAACACTTCGTCACATTTAATTTAACATTAAATAATAATTCCAGTATTTTAATTTGGTTAGGCTCTGGAAAACTCATTTTTAAAAAAAAAATTGTGATGAAAATAATGCAGTTATAAAAAAAACGAAAAAACAAAACATGTTGATTTTGGCGTGGAATTAGCCATGGTAAATAATCTACATTGCTAGTTTATTAAAAATAAAAAAAAATAAAAAAATTCATAGCTCTAGAATTCTATGTTATTATCAATGGCTCCCTATTGCAAATGCGATCTCTGTAATTTTATCCATTTATAAATACAAAAGGTCCATCCAAATATCCAGATCCACCAGTGACGTAAAAAAACAACAACACCAACAAAACAATGTGTAGTGCAGTCACAGAAAACCAACGTCTCGTTTCATCCACGCATCCAGTGGACCAAAGGCCAAGCAACCAATTAATTATATCCATTTCTAATTGCATGAACAATTACAGTCTTGAAAATAAGGCGCATAGGGGGGGGGGTGAACTGTGGAAATAATGATTGGAAATGAAAGCAGCGCTCGTTCCAAATTCAACGTCACAGAAACCAATGTGTGTCTAAATATATGCTTTGGAAAAAACTGCATTTCTCGGCATGACACAGAAGATTTTTGTGTCAAGTTCGATCAAACTAAAAACCTAGGTATTGATTGAGGAGGTGAAAGAAAGAAGAAAAGCGTCCATTTATTCTGCTCCTAATCGACGATTCAATTAGACAACTTCTGTGAGCGGCACCACGGCACAATTCATAATACGTGGTGTGGTGTGCGCGCCAGTGTCAAAATGCTAGGGTAATGGCGGCTAGAATTAAGTGGCGTTGATAAGCATGTGGGGAGAGATGTGTGTGAGTGGGGGAGGGTGGGGGGCTGATGTAATTAGACGAATGTTCTAATTGTAGATATCACACAATCTCTTAATGTGTGCACCTTTTCTTTTGTTGGCTGTGAGAATGAATCCTGAGTGTTGTGTGTGTGTGGGGGGGGGGGGGGAGGGAGTCAATCTATACCTTTACGACCCAGATTTCAGATAAAAGACTTTCTCTTTCAATGTTGTAATGTTTCATGAACTTAAACCACACCCCCACCCCTCCCGAAATCTCCTGCCTTTAGCTGCACAGGTTCTGTGAGACATCGTTTAACACACAGGTTCTGTGAGACACCCTGTAACACACAGGTTCTGTGAGACATCCTGTAACACACAGTCCATCGTTAGATTGGTCTCATCTTCAAGAGACGATCAATTCGATCACGATACGGCAATAACTCATGTGAATCATTTTGGCAGTCCGAAGCAAACATCTCATTAGAGTTGACACACTTGGGTGTCGTTTCCCACTAATTCTATCCATCGTAAAATAGACTACTGGAACATTCAATCTATCAATGACTACTGGATTGTTAACACTTGAAGACAACATGAACATCTCCTCTCAATAGTTCATGGAGCTGATAAATTAATCTTTTTTTACGCATGCGATATTATCTTTATAGTGTATCACTAAACGACTAGTTTATACACTCATATACATTGTAGCTCTAAAAATGATAGCTTGACATGTGACCACCCCTCCCCCACACCAAAGAACCCCCCCACACCTTTTTTTTCTTCTCCATCCTCCCCCACCCCCCGGCAAAAAAAAGCAGACCTAACTCATACAGAAGTTCATTCAGTGCACAATGCCCTTAAGATGCTTAATATCTGGAAAGGTCTAACAATTACCTACCTATTTGTTACAACGTCAACCTAATTTGGACACATGCTAATTAAACATTAAGCCCCAAGGATGCTGCTATTATTATGGTTTATATTCAAATGTTTATCTAACAAAACAATAATGATGTTGTGCTAACTGAAGTTGTAAGCTCTGTGAAGACTAGACCTATGACATTTGCCTTTTAAATTTGAAAAAAAAATACAAACCAAACATACTGATTGGACACACCTCAAGGCAGCCATTGTTCCACGTCATAGATACTAAAAATAAACATCCCCACCACTTTCGGTTTCTCTGTTCTTCTTCCGTTGCCTTCTGGTTGTTTATTGAGTGTCTGAACCAATGGCTGGTATATGGTATTGTTTACAGCATTCATGTTTTATTATATTGCTTACTGCAGTAATGTTGATCTGCTAATTCTGTCCTTTCGGACTTGCCCCCTCCCCCCCCCCCCACTTTCAACCAATTACATATTTTATTAGTGGCTGTGTTAATTGCCATCCGTGCTGTCTCCCTCGGGCTGTTTACTTGTCGACTGAATGCTGTTCACTTGTCGACTGAATGCTGTTTACTTGTCGACCGAATGCCGTTTCGAGTCAGTTCTTCAATAACTTTGACTTGAACACTACCGCACACAACTAGGGGAGCAATCATTGTTGTCGCTGTTGTTTAGTCACGGCAACTAAAACATATCACAATTATGTTGCTCATTTGCATAGATTTAAGTAGAGCCAGTTCAAGCCACTGCCCCACATATCACACCCATCAACCACTCGGGAGATTCTTTAATGTATGGTGATTGGAGCTGAACATTATTGGATCAGCATACACAACATAACATACACTTTTGATTATACAACTATTTTGGTGAAAAAATATGTCAAAAACACTTCATATGTGCTTGTGATTGGCTTTTATGGCTGCTATTGTTAGTGCCATCCACAACTGGTAGAGTTATATAGCTCCTACGTGTATCCCTTTTCCTTCTCTTTAGTGGCCTAACTTTTTTTTTAAAAAACGTTTATATTTGTATTTGATTTTTTAAATGTCACCAACTTTTCCATCTCGTAGCTTCTCCCATTCCTCCACTAAGGGCAGACAATGCATTGACGTACAAGTTGAAAAGAAATGATTCAGATTGAAACATCCACCACAAGAAACTCACAAATTCCGCCCCGACTGACACAAAACCCCAACTGACATTATTGAAATGTCACCCGCTGTGTGGGCCCCCACCATCCTTCACCGCTTTGGCCTTTTCCCTATCTCCTACCCCGGCAACCGTAGCGGCGGCCCTGTCACGGCTCCAGCTACGTCACGAGGGCCTTAAAGTTAAAACTCGAGCTGTTATCACTAGGCTTGTGTCGTCTGCTCCTTATCAACATAGCTCACATGCCTTTGTGGTCAACAAACTGCTGACAAATCCCAGGATGGTTATCAACCCCCACCCCCCACTCCGGCCTTTCCACCAAATAGGCTTTGATTACAGATGACCACAGATATGCAATTAATTATTGACGTGAGGGGGGGGGGCTACGAATATATCGGGCGGGGAGTGGGGGGTGGGATGAGGTTCAATGAATAAAATAGTTAATAATAAAAAATAAATAGTTTGACACGTTAAAATACATTAACTTCCGGTATGACGTAAAATTGCTGTTATCATATTGGGGGGATCCCCTTGAGTTTATAACTGAGTAACCAAACAATCTCGTCACTGTCTTTAGAAGACTAGCAAAGACAGCCGTGTTTCACTATGCAAGGGGGACGGGGGGGGGGGTCTATTCATTTATTATTTGTACCAAATGTGCATATCTACCATTTACGGTTTAAATTTGGTGTTGGTTTATTCTTTTTTAAATTTATTCTACCACGCAACATTATCCATAGTATTTCTTATTTATCCCCCAATAGTCTTCCATCCACTACTGCCCCATGAGCCCATGACTTCTTCTGTCTGCTTTTACCAAGGAAGCGTCGTGGGTAGCAATGTTCCCTCTAAGGTTTGCTGTTTCGTGTGCAAAATCATACAGTTGTGTGCAAAGTTTTACAGCAACCATTTTTGTATGTGCAAAATTTTACGGCCTACAAACACAAACGCACTTTTACGTGGAAATTTGCTGCGCGGATACTAAAAACTGCTGGGCGGCGTCTGTGAGATAGTTGCGCGGCCGGGCAGCCGCGCAGCTTAAAGGGAACATTGGTGGGTAGGTATAGCTAACGTCACGGGTAGGTATAACTGACGTCACGGGTAGATGTAGTTAACGTCGCGTTATACACTGATTGCCGCAAGGTGTGAGGCGCACTGAGGCTCCATATTCTGGATTTTTAGGGTGTCCTGAACACAGACTATCCACCGACGGCGTGGTCTTCCTCTGGTCCTAATACCAGAATGTCTGCTATTGTAAACTTCCAATTTAGGTTGGTTGACAGTGGGATAAAATAATTATTTGGTCGTACGACCATAGTCAGGCTGATGGGGATGAGATAAAGCATTTCTTTTAGCCTTCTAGTTCCGAATGTTCCATGATGTGGTCCTTCTTGTTTTACCAGCCGAATATAGTCCTTCGTGTTTTTAGCAGTCGAATGTGGTCCAATGTTTGACCAGCCGAATGTGGTCCTTCTTGTTTTACCAGCCGAATGTGGTCCTTTCTTGTTTGACCAGCCGAATGGGGTCCTTTCTTGGTTTACCAGCCGAATGTGGTCCTTCTTGGTTTACTAGCCGAATGTGGTCCTTTCTTGTTTGACCAGCCGAATGGGGTCCTTTTTTAGTTTGACCAGCTCCTCGCCATAAACATCTCGCAGGTATATCATTCACTACCGAGACTTTTATTCAGAGCTCAGGTATGACCCTGGTGAGTAAAGGTTGGACTAGAGACAGCGTTAATTTGCCTGGCTTTGGCCTTCCTCTACGTTGGTGGGTGCCTTGGTAGCAGGGACGATGTGATAGGTGAAAGTGTTTGGCCAACCGCACTCTTGTCTCTGTCTCTGTATCCGCTTTCCGTCCTCTGGGCAAATATCTGCATACAACAGGACACAAAAGAACCGCCTCATTTGTTTCCGGGTGTATGTCCCTAAAAAGTTGACGCTCCTGGTTCTTCCAAATGTCTGTCAACCTTGTTTGGGGTTACGTGTATTGGTGAGGTCCCGGTGCTTCATTCAGCAGACAGACTAAAGACAGGGCCGACATACCAAGTTTTGGGTTGCAGCATTTAACGAAATAATGATGTCGAATGCAACACAATAATCGTACGTCATTGAAAGATTTATGGGTCTGTATCACTTGGTTTTGGTCATATTAAACCTTAGGTATACTTGCCTTAAACCAGGCCTGCATACGGCCCGCCAGCACCCACTTTGCGGCCCGCGAAGTAATGAAATATTCTTTTTTATTATTTTAGTGATCCGCCCCCACCCCCCACCCCGGGTCCTATTTTCTTTCGGCCCGCACACGTTTTTCATAAAGTATTACGGCCCGCCTTAGATTTTGAGTTGTGCAGGCCTGGTTGAAACAGCTAATGTATGTAGCCGTGTGCCGAGTGGACGATTGGTTGCTGGCACATATAATGTCTCTATCTCCAACACCATATAATATTACAGAGTTGATCTTTGGTATTAATTTTTGAAAACAAATTTAAATATAAGGAAAATATACAGACCATCGTGCATTGCGTGGTTAGACTGGTTGCGACATAACAGACCATCGTGCATTGCGTGGTTAGACTGGTTGCGACATAAGAATGGAAATAGAGGTAAGAGGCGTGCAAAAGTGTCCCTCCGTCTACGTGAATAAGGAAAATATACAGACCATCGTGCATTGCGTGGTTAGACTGGTTGCGACATAACAGACCATCGTGCATTGCGTGGTTAGACTGGTTGCGACATAAGAATGGAAATAGAGTTAAGAGGCGTGCAAAAGTGTCCCTCCGTCTACGTGTGGGGGGGGGGGTACCTGCAACCCAGGTGAAGTCTTTACTAAAGTTTGTCGGGGGCTGCGATTTTTAAATTTTTTTGTTATCTTGCCCCATGCTTGAAAAAATGAAACACTGTAGTCCGCCTTCTTCTGAGGGTGTGCTCATGGATATGTAGCTGACCGTATCTTTTGAACAAATACATTTTAAGTGCAAAATAATTCGAGAAAAAAAGGGGGGGAGGGGTAGTGTGAGCATTTTAATGTGGATAACAATATCTAAAAAAAATAACTATTTTGCACACGTGAAAATTTATCTTTAAAGATAGAGCCTTTTTTTTCATTACTGCAAAATACAGTTCAAAAGCGTGAATAAGTTAAGATTTCCTTTTTTTTTTTTTAAACATTTTTTTCCCACTTAGTTGATTAATCTCATCCAAACAGAAAAGTGCGGATACATTTTTAGGGCCAATGTTTCAAATAATTTTTTTAAAATTAATGATTTAACTTTGACAGAGTTGATGCAGGGTAGATCTATTTTCACCTGATCTCAACTAACTGACTACAAGAAATATACGGATAGCTCAGGTGATAAGGTTAAAAAGAAGGATGTGGCTATTCGGACCCGTTGAGAGTTTGGGTTTATTAAAAAATATTTAAAAATTATTGTAGGGTTTGTAAGACAAAATTTGGTATCAAATGAAAGATAATTGAATGGACCATGTGTTTGTAAACTTACTTCTTCAGTGGAACTAAAATAAACTACCACACATGACATCTGAATAGCATTTAGTCAAAATAGCACTGGAAACGCATCGCCGCTTTTCGGACCCGGGTCCCATTAGACTCAATGATATTCCATTATGATGATATTCTATTGTGCTGATATTCCATTGTAATGATATTCCGCTGTGATGAAATTTCGTTGTGATGACATTCCACTGTGATGACATTCCATTGTGATTACTTTGATGTATTGATGTAAACAAATTTTTTTTGAAGAATTGACTAGCCCCAATATAATTTATTTTTATTATATTTAATTACACCTGCGTCCATCATTAGTACTACTACATGTAAAGACCCGATGAACACACCTGTGTCAGTCAGTAGTACTACTACATGTAAAGACCCGATGTACACATCTGCCCTGTGTGTACATAGCTTGATGGGATTTGGGGCGTCCATTTCACCGTTGAATTATCGCCCATACGGCATCACCTTTCATGGGCACATACAACAACAACATAGAACAAATAACGACGATAACATAAAACAAATAACATTCAACAATAAAATACAATTATAACGTACACTAATGGCATACAAACAATACGTCATAAAACATCATCATTTATGTGCACAAACAACAATAACATACAATGACAAATAATTTGTAATGCAATAACAATACCACACAACAATAACATACGCCGGTAGCATATGACGACGTTTGGGAACAGATATGCCGACAGGTTGAGACGCGCCGTCAGCAGACACGTGACGCGTTGGTCATCATATAATCTCTAGACCAGATAACGGCATGTCTTGTGATGGCGGTCATCAATAATTTTCCTGATGTCCGGTTACTGTGTTTAGACTTGCCCATCACATTGCCCATGTCCAGTGGGGGTGGTTATCACTGATAGTTTCATTGCCCCATGGCACAGCTGTGTTCTGTTTTGATGGGTGTTGCCACTGATGATCCACTGGACAACAGCTCCAATTAGACATCTTGGTCATATCTATTTCACAACATTGCCTAATTTCTGCCTAGAATAGGCAACGATTTTGTGATTAGGTAAGCGTCACCCTGTGATGGGTGTTGATGGGCATATTGTATGTGCTGACGTCATTTTTTAATTCTACTAGTTTCAAGTTTGATAAGACCCTCGTCTATACAAAGAATATGGCCTAATGTATGTGTGTGAGGGATGCTTAATGGGGATATCAGATTGCTATATTGTAAACAATGGCGTCATTAGCAATTATTTCTAAAAACAGAGATCAAGAGTACATTGTGCTGTACAATGTATGAGTTAAAATGACTGTACTCTCTAGCACATGTAACACGTGACAGCACATCTATTTCATCGGGCCTGTTTTGTTGAGCACCCCTCTGGAATCTATATATCATCTGTCGGGTATGTCACCACGGCAGTTGTGTGTGTGAGGTGTCCAGCTGAGTGGATTCAACATGATCCAACGTTCTGTACAATCACATAGGGAACTTGTGCAGCACACATTCGGGTCTGACGTGGTAGCAGCTAGAGACGAGGTCAAGTAGGCATCTTCCCCGTGCACACGTATTTGTGGCCATCAATGCGTAAGTTACACGCACGGACTTATCGCTGTGGTCCACCATTGGTTCACCTACCATTCACAATCTAGAGACATTCGCAGACGAGGCTTTGCTCCTTCTCAAACAAGTCGATCAACCGTCCCATCAACATGAAGCCGATTCTTAGGTTTCAATATAATGACCAAATAAGGCAACACCAGAACGGACATTTGTACAATAAATGTTGTGCCTTGAGCAGTAAGCTAGTCTCTACCCTAGTCACCATCGCATGTTGTGCCTTGAGCAGTAAGCTAGTCTCTACCCTAGTCACCATCGCATGTTGTGCCTTGAGCAGTAAGCTAGTCTCTACCCTAGTCACCATCGCATGTTGTGCCTTGAGCAGTAAGCTAGTCTCTACCCTAGTCACCATCGCATCTTGTGCCTTGAACAGTAAGCTAGTCTCTATCCTAGTCACCATCGCATGTTGTGCCTTGAGCAGTAAGCTAGTCTCTACCCTAGTCACCATCGCATCTTGTGCCTTGAGCAGTAAGCTAGTCTCTACCCTAGTCACCATCGCATCTTGTGCCTTGAGCAGTAAGCTAGTCTCTACCCTAGTCACCATCGCATGTTGTGCCTTGAGCAGTAAGCTAGTCTCTACCCTAGTCACCATCGCATGTTCTGCCTTGAGCAGTAAGCTAGTCTCTACCCTAGTCACCCATCGCATGTTGTGCCGCAAGAGTTTCATAGGTGTTTAGCAAATTTTGCCGTAAAATTCATTGCAAAGAAATGATTTAAATTTAAAAAAAAGAAGAATCCATTATATCATCTACAAATAAAAATAATTTGCTTGGACATTGCTCTTGGACATTGCCCTTGGAGGAAGCACACGATATTGTTCCAAAACATTTGAAATTATGTTGTTTGTAAATTGTAGATGTACGGGATTGTATGATTATCACGTGTCCTTGCAGATTGTCCTCCAACCGTGCACAGCAATACATACGATATAGATCTCAACACTTTCCCGGCATCGATACCAACACCATTAAAACGACTACAACTGCCCACACACCATCATTAAGTAAATGCATTGTACTTACCCTTACACATTGTTATGTTCATGAAGAAGCACAAACGCTAAGTTAGCGCACCTGCACATTTACTTTAAAGTACGAGCGCAGTTGAACAAGTGAACGAACAAATCCCGGGGGCACCCTATAAGAAATGTCATTGTCAAAATGGGGGCGGTATTTTGTCCACACTTGTCATTATTTTTTTAAAAACTATTTCCTAGCTTGTACTGTGAAGATTTGGTTATGTCCGAGACAGTTTTAGCAGCACGATCTTGGCATTTAAAGTGGGGACCAAATGGTGCACTCAATTCACCTATCCGTCAATATGGTGTTTATTTATTTAATTTGTAACATTATTTTTGTGACTTGAATTCGGTTCTAAATGTTGATAATTATCGCCCGCCATTTATTGTATAGCATTAGTGTTTAATGAATGCATTCAACAACTTTCAACTTGGTATTTGTTTATATTACAAAAAAAAAACACACACATAATTTACAACTTATTTATTAATGTGCATCATTTGCACCCATCATATTGATAGATATGACGAGTTTATTGTATTGATACACCATGAATAACACCACATCCATGGTGTGCACTAAGACTGCCCCCCCTCCCCGCTTCCCACCACCCACTCCTCCATCTCCCTACCCTAATGAACGGTGTTATTTCTTGTTCCAGCTGTGACCTGCCCGCCACCACGGTGTCCACTCCTACCCCGTCTCTGTACCCAGGCTGTGTGGACGTGGCTGGGGGACACACAGACAGACTGACCAACATGCTCACGTCCAAGCCGCCCCACTACGACCCTGTGGGCACAGGTGAGGATTGGCCCGGTACAGTCCTTTTCTAGTGATTTTTTAGTTAATGCTAGTTAGAAGTGTAACGTTCTTTCTCATGTAGACTCATCCCATTGTTTTTGTATCTATAAACGTATAAATACACATTCAGTTATCGTTAAAAAATTGTAGTTATTTTAATTATGGTCATTAATCAAGGGCTTACACCGGTATTGACTTAAGAGGACTGTGATTAGTACGACGACTCATTAGATCAAATAATAAATTAATTTATGTGGCTTTCTAATTGTGTGTTTAAAAAAGAAAACATAATTTTAAGCTATTTATATTTACTTTATAAATTACGATCTTCTAGACCCCATAGTTGCAAACTTAATTGAATTTTAATTTTAAAAAATGGAAATTCAGATAGGAAGAAAATAAGATCAGAAAAGTAATCGCTCATCACATTTATGTCAGCAAGATTTTGTATAACTTGACATGCTATCATACATTAGTACCCACTATAACATGTAATGCCGAGCCATGGGGGATGGGGCTGAGAACTAGACAAAACATACAATCAAGTAACGCACTTTAGAAGAAGTGCCCCATCTCGCCCCCCCCCCCAAGTCTCCCAACCCCACAATGTTTCCACGCCCCTGAGCTATATTAATATTCTAATGATCCACCCCCTTTTACACCGCAGTTTTTGTTCACCAACTATTTCAGCAAAAAGAAAAGAAAAGATTACGCACCAAACGCACTTACGATATTTAAAAAAAAAAAAAAAATTAAAAATTTAAGAATAGAGACCTGCTTCAATATAATTCAATTTTAGTATATTTAAATTACACCTGCGTCCATCATTGGTATCTCTGAATTTTTTAGAATCTCATTTAGTGCAGTTATCGGGAATTTCATTTCGTGAAATCAGTGACATCATAGTTCCTTCATCTTCTCTTAGAAAAGGGGTGATTTTCGGGGATTGTGTGGCAAATTAGATAGAATGATTTGTCTTTGGCACCGAGTCTATGTGCCAAAGTTTCAGCTCGATGGGTTGACTGGAAGTAGGTACATTAGCCGTCCGAAGATTTTGCCAGTCCGAGGACCACGAACAAAAGCGAAGTTAATATAAAGGATTTACAACGCCAGAAAAGTCAACCTTGTCAGGCGGAAAGAGACGATTGAAAACACACAAACAGTTGGCTAGAATCGCAGTTGTGTAGGGCGAAGGACGTGACTTTAAAACCTTTTGTAACGGACCAGATGCGTTCAGATTAAAAGGGCTATCATCAAACTGAATTATAAAAAGTTGAGCTCAATGGCAATATATGAAAATATAAACAATTATTTGTGTTAGACACCAGCACACATATCTCAAGCATGACGACATAGACAGTAGCACACATATCTGAAGCATGACGACATAGACAGTAGCACACATATCTGAAGCATGACGACATAGACACCAGCACACATATCTGAAGCATGACGACATTGACACCAGCACACATATCTGAAGCATGACGACATAGACACCAGCACACATATTTGAAGCATGACGACATAGACACCAGCACACATATCTGAAGCATGACAACATAGACACCAGCACACATATCTGAAGCATGACGACATAGACACCAGCACACATATCTGAAGCATGACGACATAGACACCAGCACACATATCTGAAGCATGACGACATAGACACCAGCACACATATACATAGACACCAGCACACATATCTGAAGCATGACGACATAGACACCAGCACACATATCTGAAGCATGACGACATAGACACCAGCACACATATCTGAAGCATGACGACATAGACACCAGCACACATATTTGAAGCATGACAACATAGACACCAGCACACGTGTCTGAAGCTATCACATAATATCATTTCTGCCATATAACAATTGTGTACTCTTTGTTGTTGCAGGTATCGGTGCAGGAGGGTATCCCACAAGTATGAACGCGATGGGTCCATCCATGTCTCCCATGCCATCAGCAATGTCCGCTATTCCGGGAGGGATGAGCTACTCCCCACAGACCATGAGTGGCATGGCCATGGGGGGAATGGGCTCCATGGGAGGAATGCCCATGGGAGGCATCAGTTCAATGGGAGGAATGGGAGGCTACGGCTCCATGTCCATGAACACCATGGGAGGAATGAACGGAATGACCGCCATGTCGGGGATGTCGTCCATGAACGGAATGAACCGATCCCTTGACCCCAATCTCATGTCCATGGACAGAAATGGGGCGCTCAATAGGCCTCGGTCGGACAACAAAAACTACAGGAGGGCGTACACACACGCCAAGCCCCCTTACTCGTACATATCCCTCATCACCATGGCCATTCAGCAGTCCCAGAATAAAATGTGTACGCTGAGTGAAATCTATCAGTTCATCATGGATCTATTCCCTTTCTACAGACAGAACCAACAGCGTTGGCAGAACTCGATAAGACACAGTCTTTCTTTCAATGACTGCTTCGTCAAGGTACCCCGCACTCCGGATAGGCCAGGGAAGGGAAGCTACTGGGCCCTACACCCAGATTCCGGAAATATGTTCGAGAACGGATGTTATTTAAGGCGCCAGAAGAGATTCAAATGTCCCAAGAAGGAGATGATCCGCCAGACCTCGAACTCAGACCGAGGGCGGGATGACTCGGGCATGAACCCTGACGACAGTATGCCTTCCGGTGACGACCAGAGCCCGATGAGCTCACCGATTCCAGGGGGGCACCCCCACCACGGGCAGTCGCACGCCGCACCCCTAACGCCGCCCCGACCTCAGGATCATCACCAGCAAAACCACCACCAGCAGCACCCTCAGTCCCAGCAGCACCAAACCTCGGCGCCCATCCAGCCTAAATCCGAGGTGATGAACAATTCCTCGCCGCACCCCCAGGAGATGTCCCACCCCCCGCCTGCACAGAGCCTCCCGCCCCAGGGGTCGTGTCACACGCCCCTCTCCTCGCAAACCTCCATTCCATCGTACCACCACGCGTCCCCGGCCGCAGATCTCACGAACGTCCGATCTCTCAACTTCCAGGACTACGGGCAGCTCACGTCGCAGTCCCTGGGGCTCCACTACTCCGCCGGCCACTACGGGCACCACCCCCACTACCACCACCACCAGGCCGGGTTGCACCAGGTCAACCCCAACCACTCCTTCAACCACCCGTTCTCCATCAACAACCTCATGTCGGAGAACAAACTGGACATGAAATCCATGTGTGAGATGGGCTACGGGGCCTACACCCAGATGTCGCCCCTGACCATGTCCAAGGACTCTTCCCCGCCCGTGATGGGCAACCACCACGACGCCGGCGGTTACTACAAGGCGTACCAGTCCACCGTGGACTTATGACATCCGGCCACCACGAGGAGCAGCAGCCCTCCCAAATACGACGCTTACAACGCACGGTCGTACCAGAGCAACTTCTACAACAACCAAAACTCGTCCTACGCCGTTCCCGCCGTACGCGACACGTAGCGAACTACTCCGGGTCGTAGAGGACTGCTCCACCTCGTGGTGTTACCGAAATGTCGGACAACTCTGTTGATAAAACAAAACCTAACTCGGGGGTCTTTTGGCTTTGTTTTTTATTCATACAAGAAAACACTTCTCATATCAGTTCAATAACAAACCCAAACGCTCGACTCAGACTCCAGTGATGACGAAAGTCCGTTTGAAGAAAGAGACATTCTGTACAGTTATTGCGCTTTTTTTTAAAATATATAAATCTCTACATTTTTTATTCGCCTGCAATGAAACATGTGATATCGTTTCAATCTCAGTCTACACTAGCGAGCTTTTTGACCAAGAGCAAGCCAACCACGTTTATCGTGACGGCCATCGTATGTACAAACAATTCAATCTAATCCGAGGCGAGAATTGTTACCCTTCTCGTTCCGAGTACAAATAGAGCTTTAAACATCCAAAGATTTAAAAAAAAATTTTTTTTACTATTAATCTCCATTATTGTCTGCCACTCTCCATTTCATCTCATCATTTCACGAACTGCCAATTATTCTAAATGTTATTGAAATGTGTAGGGGGTCATACGTTCTTCTCGGGAACGCCTTTCTAAATGTGCTCAGAATGTCAAGTCTAAACTTTCAACAAGAACAAAAGATACAAGGGGAAGCGATCAAGAATCTCCTTATAAGGGGAAACAATCAAGAATCTCCTTTGAAAAGGTTGAATAATTTATTTATTGGAGTAGGTGACTTTGCTGACTCCTCACATTGCATTCCTTTCTTTTAATTGTAACACATCGGGACCAGGCCCTCCAGGTATTCTTGGTGGACTTGCGATGAACTTAATTTGGTTGTCCCGCTTGTTACGATGACCAGCACTTGAGGTTGGACAAATATGCGGTAATAAGTCTAGATGCGCTAATAAGTCTAGATGCGTTAATAAGTCTAGAACATAACTTCCCAGTGCTGTGCCAAGTTGGACACGACCGTGGGTCTCACTTATTAATGACCTATTTCATTGTTGATGTTTGTTTGAATGTTTTCTATTTCCATCAAGAAAGTCTATCATTGGATGACAGCCCTGCACAATAGCGATACCAAATAACTCATTGTACTGACGTTTGTTTAGGCAATCCATTTTCATTTCATTATACCACGAGGCTAGGAAATGGTATCGAAAGAGACAAGAAAGGAAAATAAGATCTAAATATATTTTTTTAAAATTTAAAATATCAATGTTGATCAACCAGCGGCGTAGGAAGGGAGAGGAGGAGGGGTGGTCCACCCAAGGTGGCAATTGTTTCTTTAAATGGGGGGGGGTGGGGGCGGCATTTTCAGCCAACTGTAGTTTTTTTTCTCCACGGAAATGAAAAGGGGGGGGGGGCGGCAATATCCCTGACCTATTTTGGCCATCACAAAGAATTCAAGTGTTGAATTTAAAAGATTACTAGAAATTAAATTAAAAAAAAGAAAAGAAAGAATCCATCCCATATAAACCTCATCAAAAAGTTCTCGTTAATATCAGCTCTATCACTTCAAACGTTGGGCTTCTCAGATGACTGGCTATGAATACAAATGATCGTTTTGTCCGGACATGATAGTTGTTGTTTGTACCAGTTAGGTATACGGTGTCGTCGATAACAATTGAAACTTTCACCCAAATGGCCGCCGTATTCGGCAGTCCTGAGACTATTATATAGCATGGAGGTTAATGATGGCTGACGTCACGGTGTACAAGTAAGATACTCCTCAGCGTCACTGGTAACTATGGTAACCATATGCAAGGCACTGCAACGAAAAAAAGTTATGTTGGTCCAAAAAAAATAATGTTTTTTGTTTCATTGCGAAAGATAATATCATATATCTATATATTAGTTTTATTTACAAGAATAATCAATCATATCAGCCATGACGTCTTAGAATGTGGTCACAGAATTTCCCAAGAAATTATGACTACGTCATAGAGCCCTATATCCCCACTCTTCCCCCCCCCCACACCCCGACGACTCATTCCCCCTCCCCTCCCCCCATTGTTGTATTGACTTTGCTATGCTATCACACCAAAGATATCTTGTACAGTTTTACGCAGGCTTCTTTATCAAGGCACCCTGCTCATTGGAACTTTTGTTTGTTTTCAAATTGCAAAGCGCGCCATCATCAGCACCACCATTTTGGTTTGAAAGAAGGACTATTCAGACAATCAATCCCACAATGCTTTGCTTTCCTTCCAAGGGAGGTCTCAATTTAATTTTCTTCCCAAATTTTTTTTTTTTACTTGCATTTGTTTATTTAATCTATGAAATATTTATTATTAGAAACATATACAAACTTTTACTTGTCACGTATTTATGTCCAATTCTTATGGCATCGTTTGTTTTACATAAACCATTTAATTTTTTTTTTTGTAATGACAAAGTAGGGGAGGGAATAAGGGAAAGGTGGGGGGTGGGTAAAAGGATTTGCGCTTTAAAATGTTATTTGTATATTAAATTTAGTTTTGTAAAGTAATGGCAGAAATTGGAAGAGCTTTCTTAGTGGGTGAAGTCGTGTGATCCGATTAGCTGAATTTTATTCCAACCTATTTCAAGTGTTCAAATTTGATGTTGTATGAAAAGTTAACATTTTGGTTCTGTATTTATAATTATGCTTATTATTTATTAGACTTATAAGATTTAAAATTCTGACCTTTTTTAAAAAAAATTAGAAAATATGACTCAGGCCTTTGTTCTATCTGACTCAGGCCTTTGTTCTCAAGGCATTGACTTTATAATAAGTTTTGATTGTTTACATAGCAGGTCAAAGGTTACAAGAAGGGCGCGTCCCTTTGATATTACTGTTTTGTGGAGGTCTCGACTCTGGCATTCCAAGCTAAAAAAATAGCATATTGTTTACAGTGTATCTTATGTTATCAGGGTACGACACGGCTGTAGTTATATGTTCTTGTTTTATTTTTATAATTTTGTTTTTTAACAAAGAGGTAAACTGAAGTTGATAAGTGAAATGTGTTTCCGTCATAGGAAATACATGTGTACGAGCATGATCCATGTGTGTGAAGGAAAGAGAGATATAGGCAGGTAGAGAGAGAGAGGGGGGAGGGCGAGTGTCCTCCTTTGTATGTGTACACGATGGTACATAGTTCATTTTTAGTGCCACACCTGTGTGAATGTATGGAGGTGGATAGGGGTAGCAAGAAAGAGATAGTTGAAACCATAATTATATATTTAAAGAATTATATCAAACCCTTCATTTTCTGGGAGGAGAACCCTTGACTGAAGAACACGAAGCTTAAAATATCCTGGCTTAAAGTTGTAATTGTGTATTCCCTGGGTACTTTGATAACGACTTGAGTCTTAGGACATCAAGCCTTTCTGGAAGCGAATGGTCTCCATTCTTGTTGACAGTCGTATAGTGGACGTGACCATTACAGGGTATATTTCAATATGTTTTACACCAAATAGTCTTTAAACCAAAGCGGTAATATACATCGTTAACTTACACACTCATTGCACCAGCTATCCCTCCCCCCCCCCCAACATTGGCTCCATAACATGTCACAGATCATTGATGGCGCCTAGTCTTGGTTTGATCAGAACTCTAGTTCTTGAGACAATATTATTATAAGCTGTCGACACACATGTCATTAACTCATCGTAGCACGCGATCAGGTTTACAAACAGGACGGGAAAACTAAAACTAATGCAATATATATAATATATATATATATATATATATATATATATATATATATATAAACTATAATACTGGCTAAAATACTATAACTGGATTGTAGCAAACAATTATTGACTTTCAGATGAATTTACAGATTATTATTATTTAAATATATTTTGTATTGCTTTTGAATGTGAACAATGTGTTAGTGCTTGAAGCAACAAATTTTTTTTTACAAAACTATATAAGTTTGTGACGTATCTGAGTGAGTTTGACATACCATTTTATTTAACATTTGATAAAACATTCTTGTATATAATACTATTTTATGTTCGTCATTTGTACACAGATCTATGAAACAAAATGTCTTGTAATATAGTATGATGGGGATTAAAATAGTCACTAAACTAAACACATGATTTGTTCTTCTAACTAAACAATGTCTGCGAGATTGTGTTTTCTGTTGGCTTTGTGATGTCAGTGTTTGAATGACGTCCAGGCGCAGGGTTCTGGAAGAACACGGTAAGGCTTGACACATTAGCCGAGCCCATTTCATCAGTACCATCATTGGCGTGCGGGGTACAATGGTGGGGAACAGTTATACGGTTGTAAATCTGAATCGCTATAGACGTCTTGTTTAGCTATAGACGTCTTTGTTAGCTATAGACGTCTTGGTTAGCTATAGACGTCTTGGTTAGCTATAGACGTCTTTGTTAGCTATAGACGTCTTGGTTAGCTATAGACGTCTTTGTTAGCTATAGACAGCTTGGTTAGCTATTGACTTCTTTGTTAGCTATAGACGTCTTGGTTAGCTATAGACGTCTTGGTTAGCTATAGACGGCTTGGTTAGCTATTGACGTCTTGGTTAACTATAGAAGTCTTGGTTATCTATAGAAGTCTTGGTTAGCTATAGACGTCTTGGTTATCTATAGAAGTATTGGTTAACTATAGACGTCTTGTTAGCTATAGAAGTTTTGGTTATCTATAGAAGTATTGGTTAGCTATAGACGTCTTGGTTAGCTATAGAAGTCTTAGTTATATATAGAAGTATTGGTTAACTATAGACGTTTTGGTTATCTATAGAAGTATTGGTTAGCTATAGACGTCTTGGTTATCTTTAGAAGTATTGGTTAGCTATAGACGTCTTGGTTATCTATAGAAGTATTGGTTAGCTATAGACGTCTTGGTTATCTATAGAAGTATTGATTAGTTTTAGACGTCTTGGTTATCTATAGAAGTATTGGTTAGCCTTAGACGTCTTGGTTTGCTATAAACGACTTGGCTAGCTATGGACGTCTTGGTTAGCTATAGAAGTCTTGGTTATCTATAGACGGCTTGGCTAGCTATAGACGACTTGGTTAGCTTTAGTTGTCTAGATTAGCGTTAGACGGCTGTTTTAGCTGAAGAAGAAACACAAAATATATTCTTAAATTTATGGGAGAGAACACATACTTCGTAATTAACTACTGCCTACGCGCATACTTACCTACTGCCTACTTACCTACTACCTACTCACCTACTGTCCACTAACTTGCTGCCTTCTTCATACTGCCTACTAACCTACCTAAATCACTTTATGCCTGCTCACCTACTACCTTTATTTAACCAAGTACATACACATATATACCAAACAATCACACAGATTAGTAAGCTTAAAGTGAAGAAAGGTTTAGGACAATGTTCAAAGTATTGAGGAAAGTAATAGACGGTCATTTACTCGGCTTAAGGCCCCATTCTCTCAGCCATTTCCAGCCATTTCTTCGGGGTCACAAGAGGCAGAAAGAGTGAATAGAGGAGGAAAACTTGGGAGGGGGAGGAATTAGTCCACGGGTACAAGTTATTAACGGTCAACTGGTAATAGGAAATATACGATCTGACGGTACAGTGAATCGACATACAACTGGTACGAGGCATTAAAGGTCCACTGTTTACAAGTGATAATAGCCTCATTTCAGGTACAAGAGATGTCATGGCCATCCGTGCACACCATACTTACAACAACAAGACATGGGCGTGACCAATAAGACAAGGTGGTTATAGTAGTAGTAGGTCCGAATGGAGCGCTACCCACGAACACAGCAATGTAACTAACCCCTGACCTCAGACCGTAGTCGAGTATTATAGTATACACGTTTTACAGTATCGATTCGAAAACACCTCGCTGACCTCGAGTTACAGTGGTTCTCGGGATAAATAACAAGGATCGGTGATAATTGAACACTTGGCGAGTCATGTCATGAGCAGTAAATGACACCAGGTTCTCACGTTATGCGTTCGTCCAAGTTAAACACCAAATATGTGAAACAATTTCACGGCTAAGAAACAAACAAGTTTGGAAACTACAACCGCGCTGTAAACTATCTGTAGCACTGAACCATTAAGAATCCACACTAAACAACAATTCGCGTTCAACACAAGACACTTCCAACTAAGTGATAACATACCAAGCCATAATGTCATGGGCGGACCTTCACCACTTGGGGAATGGAAGGAATCGCTAACGAACATTACCCACAAAACAAAACAAAAAAAAGGGGGGGGGGGCAACTTTTATTATTAATTTTTAAATTTTTTTTTTTATTTATAGAGAGATCGTTGCAATAATAGTACCGATTCGAGACGTCAATTATTTACTAAAAAGC